TATATATATATATATATATATATATATATAAATTTTAAGTTGGCCATCAATGATTATTTTTCATCCATTTAATCGCTATATTCTGTACTTCTTCCACAATTAGTCTCAAAACTAATTCTTGCTGGTTTAAGAATATCTTGATAACTATAAAAATTCCCATCCATTTGTTGGGCTTCTATAGGTTCCTTAGATTTTATAATATATTTTTCTGGTATAATTCTTTTATTAATTACACAATGACTACATCCTGAATCTATTAAACCTAGACAATTTATTTCAAAATTTTCTATTCTAACATAACATTTTACTTTAATACTTTTTAATTTTTCTGAATTACAAAAAACTTGAACTAATTCTGATTCAGAGATAATTTCTGGACTTTTTCCTTTTTTATTTATTTCCAAAAATTCTATTTTCTGTAAAATATATCTTTGCATATCTTCTAAGTTTTCTATTCTTTTTCTTAATATTTTTATTTCTGATAATTCTATTTGGACTAAATCATTCTGATTTTCTTCTTCAGATTCTATTAATTCTTTTTGTATTAAGCATTGTTTACATGCTTCTAAAAAACAATCTTTACATTTAACTCTTAATTTTTTACTAGGATACCATTTACATAAAAAACATGGTATGCTATCTGAACCTGTTTCTTTTACCCATTTATGTTTACATTCTAATTCTATATCCATAAATTCTAATTCTTCATCTGAATCTGATAAATTTTTTATATTTGAAAATTCTTGTATAAAATTTTCAAAATCTGATTGTTCTTCTATATTATAATTATTATAATCTTCTATTGAAATAATACTATAAACTGATTCTTTATCTGAAATATATTCATCAATTTCTAATAAATCTTCATTAGTACATTCTACAAGATTACTTCTTTTATCATTATTATTTATCCTTTTTGGACATGTTTTAGCTAAATGATCTATCTCTCCACAAACATAACAATTTAATTTATTAGGATAATTTCTTTCTGGTTTATATTTTCTTACATGTTTATTTTCATCTAAATAAGGTTTTCTTCTATTAGATTTTCTAAGATAATATTTTTTCTTAAAAGGTTGACTAGTTTTTCTTTTATCATATTTTCTTTTATTCTTTTCTCTAAAATTTTTACCATAAGTTTGGGGTGTATAAATATCTTTACAGAATTTATAATCTGTCTTTTTTAATTGATTTTGAATTTGTAATTCAATACATTTTTCTTCTAAACATTGCATTATAAATTGTGTTCTTACTCCTATACTCCATAATTGATCTGGTTTTTCTAAAACAGTTTTATTTTCATTCCACTTTTTTGTTATTTCTAATCCTAAAGGACCTGGTAATTTATGAAATAATTTTTTTCCTAATTCTTGATTATAAGTATTTCCTGATATAGAAATAAGATAATAATATTCATTTAAAAATTGTTTAACTTCTTTACCTTTAGTCCATCTATTTAAACTAAGTTGTTCAAGATTTCTAATAGCTCTACTTTGAATATTAATATGTCCTGTATTTGGGTCTGATCCTGTTAATACTTCATGTATTTTACTAAAAAAATTATAAGGATTATTCCCTAATGCAATAAGTGCTTCAAATTCTGGTTGTTTATCTTTCTTATAAGCTTCCCATGTAGCTTTAGCACTTTCTCCTAAAAATGTTTTTAAATATCTATACATTTCTAATGTTTCCATATTATCTGATAATCTAATATAATGTCCTATTATTGTATTCTTCCATACTTCTATTATATTATTCCAAGTCTGAGGATCATGTGCTGTAATATTTAATAACTGTGGTTTATGTGGTGTTTGAAAATCTATTTTAGGTTCTAAAGGTCTAACTTTTCTTCTAGCTATATAATTTCTTTCTTTATCATTATAACTTGTATAAGGTGTTCTAGGAGGATGACCAGCTAAGTATTGAAATTGTTCTGGTTCTGTTTTAATTCCCATATTTTCATCTACTAATTCTTTATGATTACTACTTTCTGAAATTTCTGTCATATTATCAATTTCTTCTGTATTAATTCCTACTCTAATATTTTTAAAATTATCATAATATAAATATTCTATTTCTCCTATTTGTTTATTTAAAAACAAGTGATCTTCTAATTTTAAAAATTCTGTAGGAGATAAATTCATTTCTAATTCTTTAGGATATAAAATTCTATCTTCAGTTTCTATTTCTACTGCATTAAGAAATTCTTCTGGTTTTTGTTCTTCTTCATTATTATTATATTCTGTTTCAAAATCATTATTTCTATTTATATGACTATAATTACCAAACCTTAAACTAGTTCTTCCATGTAAGTCTTTATATGTTATAGCTTTTTGAGGAGCTAAAATTGGTTCTTGGTTTTCTAGGAATTTTTCTAAATCCCATTCTGATCCTGCTAAAAGTTCTGAATCATAAGTTTTAGGCTTAATCATTTTTATTCCTTTACTGCTCATTAAGTTTATTACTTTATCTATGTATAATTTATATTTTGTTTGAGAATTATTGCTACATCTTCCCAAAAATCCTATACTTATTAATAAATTTTCTCCTGAAACTACATCTTCATATCCATGTGTTTGAATTCCTATTTTAATTTTTTCTGAAAAATCTTTTATAGTTAATAAAAAATCTGGATTACAATATATAATTCCATTATTATCATTCATATCTACTTCTGTACTAGCTATCATACTTTTTTCCATATTTTGGATTCTTTCATCATAAATAGTTAATAAAACTTTATTTCCTAAATTTTTTCTCATTAATCCTTTAATTCCTATTACTATTAATCCTAGATGCATAAATCTAAAATTCTTTTTTCTTAATTCTTTTTTAGATTCTTCTGATATTAATGATAATTGTCTTACTTGACCATCTAAACATTGAATTGATA